TAGCTCTTTTTCCTTTCGTCATTTACCTGCAGGTTTTTTAAAATCTTTGTTTCAGGAGCTCATGGCAGGTTGAGTTTTAGAAAGCAGATCTGAAACCCTGCTGAGGCATATAGACTGCTGAATGTAATTAAAACAGCTTTTCAGAGGATCCAGTATTAATTCCAGAAGGGAAATGCGTTTGGTGCCATTTCAGTTTCTCTGCTCTGAGAACCGATATCATAGCTCCAGCCTTTTGTCACTAGCAATTACTGGAAGTAAAAGAAGCGTTGTCAAAATTTCAAGTATAGCTCCATTTCTGTCTGCTCCTGCTGCTGAGAACATCAGGAGGCGGGACTGTGGCCACAAAGAACTGACCTTTACCTCCTTGACTGCAGCATTTCATTTTAGTCTTTTTAAAGGTAGGCTGATGCACAAATGACCCCAAAACCACTCTGTGAAACCACTTGGCAGCTGAGACAGCAGCTTGCTTCCATTTTTTTCTCCTAGAAGCAAGCTTGCAGTTGTAGGAAAATCAACACATCTCCCAGGCATCCTCATCTGTCTCTTGTAACTAAGAGGGAGACAGTCATGTCTCATTCTGTCCCTGAAGTATATGGCAATGGCTCAACACACTTTTCATAAACAGCTACTCGCTGTGCAATGCTTGATTTAAATAAAAATAAGTAATAAAGGCAAAAAGATCCTTCAAGTTTCTATGTTTGGATGAATTCGCTAGCATGTATCATCTTTTACTGTTAGCTTCTGTCTTCTCTGTGCAAATTTCCATTGAATGCTCGCAAGTTTACATTTTGTTTTTACTCAGGTAGGGTATTTAGTTAAAAATACATCCTTAAAGGAAAGCCCTTCCACATGAAGGAAATGAAAGATGTATTAAGAGAGAAAACGATAGCAAGGGACTATCAGGTGAGAAGCCTGTAGAAGCAGCTCTCATTTTTTAGCTATTGTTTCTAGACTTTCCAAGGACTGTTCCCAGAAGCTGCTGGAATGCTTGTCGGATTCGACTGAATTGATTTTAAATGAAAATGTTGAAGAAATCATGGGACACCGAGAGATGGAACCGTAGCCACCTCTTAACACACTTCTCTTGCTTCTTTGGCTGAAAAGGGCTTTCAGTCATGCTTTTCGTCCGCTGGCATACACACAACGTAGACCTAGCTTGTTCCTCCTGGCAGGATTGCCTTTGTAGGCTACCTCCATCCCATGAAATAGCTGGCATGCAAACTTTGAATGCTGAAATCTGCACCTCTGAGTGAGCTTCCAACTCAAGAACTGCATGCCAGTAACACCGACTAATTATTCAGAAGACCTCCTGTAGCTGACTGAATGAGTTCATTTGCCTTAGGAAATTTCATATAGTGATCGTGCTACATCATTGTATTATTCAGACCATATAGGCAATGTTACTATACTAATTAAATGAATTCAAAATATTTCTATAATTAGTAAAGCATGAAACCAGCCAATAGATTATGCCAAAGCTATCTGTGTTAGCACAGACTGCCGTACGATCTGGGCTTTTTATCCAATATAGCTCTAAACATGCAGGGATTGAACTTCCACATTTTTCTTTCAGAAGGCTGGAAAGGGCATTTGCACAGGGACCAAAAGGTTTTATTAAAAAAAAAAAAAAAAAGTATTAAGTATTTCTGCGCTTTTGTATGCTACTGGCAAGTTAGTGATGGCTCAAACTCTTCCTTTCCGAGGGGGATGCCTCTGCCTTTGAAACCTACGGGAAGGGCACTGCTGCGGAGGGTGCTGCTAAAGCCAGGCGCTGCTGTTAGCCCCAGTGCAGCTCTTCTTGCTACGAGGTTTCCTTCTTCCTTCCCTCCTTCCGTCTTCCTTGAGGTCTGACAGCAGCTGAGATGGGCGAAATCCTGGAGGGAGACGCCCTCTGCAGCTCACTCCCGGTTTTACTGGGCATCTGCAAGCGAAATGTTTGGGTTTGGGTTTTTTTTTTTTTTTTTTTGAAAATGCTTGCCACAGTAGTCCTGAAAAATAAACATTATCTCGCTACATTTGGGGGAAAACGAGTTTCCGTGGTGCTCTTTGCCCGCTGGCAGGCACACGAGGTGAGCTGGGCTGGTGCTGCGGCTGGACCATCCCGTGGGATTTCTCCATCCCACAGCGTGCCTGAGGTGCTGTGGGTGCTGCGACCTGCGGCAGTGCTCGGGCTTAGGGTTTATGTCAGGAACTTGCGGCTAAATATGTTCTTAGCCAAAGTCTCCCCTTAAAATCAATGCTTCTGGCAAGTGATACGTATCTGTTCTCATTTGACGATACCAGCAAAACCTATGGTGTGTTTATTAATATTCATAACACTAGAGAATGGAATCAGGAACGAGATCTTTGTTTTAATTTTGACATGTTTTTCATATGGCAAGCAAATTCCTCTAACTATTTCACCTTGATGTGTTGTTCCTTATTTTCCTGTTGAATCTTAATACCAAGGGGTCGTGAGTATAGGCTTCTGTCTGACTTTCCAGAACAGGCGAGTATGATAACTGTAATTCAATTTCATCATCAATCTCAGAAGTACTTCTTTTTCACACTGATTTTACTCTAAGTCAGTCAGTACTATCAGGTTAGATCAAATAAGTTCCAGTGGGCAGGGTGTGGAGAAATGAGCCAAAATGAATCATTTCCTACATAAGCAATTTTTTGTGTCTAGACATTTGGTACTTCATCTAAAGCTCATCTTTGTCAGCTGGTTATTCTCCAGTGCTTTCAGAATTTTTGTATAAGCCTTGAATTCTTTCATCCTGCTTGTTCTGTGTTTTTTGTGAATCTCGTGGGAAAAAAAGGTCTTTTCCTAATTTTTAATTTTATAATTCAATTCTGGACACCAGTCTAAGTACCTTAGCACATGAAGGTTTGATAGAGGGCTCAGTAATCATCTCATTTAATTCTGTGGGAAGACAGGTGAATAACTTCAGTTCACGAAGATATATACTGGTATCATACTCCGAACAGCTCTCAATGACATGGATCGGCCTGCTTGCCTATCTTTTATGATCTTGATATCAGCAAGTTTTTTAAATGAATGTTTATGATGTATACAAAAAGTGTTACAGAAATATGGGCTCTGCACAAAACGGTATTTTAATATGGTTCAGGTTTGGCCTCTGTGTGCTCAACTGATTCAAAGAGAAGCAGAAGGGAGTCAGCACAGGACTCCTTTGATTGCGCTTTTCTGTCTAGCATCTTCCCATCACTAGACACGAGCAGAAATGACACTGTTTTGATGAGGAACTGGGACAGAAAGAAATCCATTCGTCTTCTTCCTGTGGGGCTACTATGCTGTATGGCTGGTAACAGCTGTTAATTAGATGGGGGGGGGGGGGGGGGGTATAATCACTTTGTAAATAATGTAGCAGATTGAGATAGCATTTATAAATTGGTTTCATTTTAAGTAGGTAAAACCACAGGAGGTTATTCCGGAACAATTTCCTCCTTGCAAGAAGGGTTAAATGTACATTTGCAATAATGGAGATTAACGTGTCCCACAGGAAATCAGTCCTATCGGAGATACATAGATGAACTGGGAGGCCAAAACAACAAAATTGCAGATGTTGCTGTGTTTGGCTGGTGTCAAAAACCACTCTGTCCCATCCTCTTCTCACTGGCATCAACTTCAGGACTGAAGGAAGTACATAGTGAGCACCGGTATGAGAAGATGGAAAGCGTTTGCTTAAGGCCATACTGTTATGAAGATATTTTTTATTTCATATTTCCACAGCTGGCTTTTTGCAACTAGATTGCATCACCAAATCTGTTAGGTTAAGATAAGTAAATAGAAAAGTTATTGCTTTAGTAACAAAACATAGTTGCAGATCTATCTTCTTGTTGTTAGTGTGAACTTGGTACAGTATTTCTTCTGTCTTGAATGCAACAGGAGCAGGAGAAAAGGTATTTTAGATAATTCGTAAAATATAAAGATCCCTAGAACTTTTGAGATCTACACAATAAAATCAAGGCCACATCTTCTCTGATCACAAATCATTCCTATAATTCTTCAGAAGGTTGTATGAAAGACATGGGAAATTAACAGATTTTTTTTTTTTTTAATTAGAATAAAACCCTAATTTGCACTCAGAATGTACAGTCAGCAAACAAACCTAAAATTTTGTGCTAGGCCAAATGACTAAAATCTTTTCCACCACAGCGTTAGGATGATTTGAACTGTAGAAGTTGGAACAGCTGTGAATGAGTGTGATTCGTGAGGGCAAAACATTAAAGAAACCTTGGTTGAAGTTTGAGGCTGGGAAAGCAATGGCAGCACATCCAGGCTGCAGCCCCTGCACAGGGCTTTATATTTCTGATTAATTCAAGTATTTCTGCTAATGCATTCACGGTTAAATAATCTACAACTGTTCAAAATTCAGTGGTTGTTATTAGACTTCGTGGCCTGGATTTGCTCATGCCTCTGAACTACGGTGTTTTCTGTCTAGCGCTGGTCCCAGCAACTCTCAGTAAGGGCAGCACAAAAGCAGAATTCTGTTCAGGTTGGGCTGCTGCACGGAAAACAGCTGCCAGGAGAGAGGAGCGTGGCTGCTTTGTAGGCTCTCTTGCAACAGCCAGGATCTCGAGGATTTTGTCAGCTTTAGTTTCTACTAAAGTAAAAGTAAAGTAAAGAGCCGGTAACTCTAGGGCTCCTGATGACACATAATTTGTATAAGGACCTTTGAATGTAACAGCAAATTGCCAAGGAAGAAAATAACTTGGAAGAAGATGTGAATTTCCCTTTTGGGAATGTGAAATGGAGATTACAACGGGAGCTAATCAGAGACCCTTTCTTCTCCTTGTGATACAATGAAATATACAGAATTAAAACTTAGATATTATTTGTCGGTGGGCATTAAGCTTCAACAAATCACTACAGTTGGGCAAAGATGACTACCATCCTCCCTCTGTACATGTATTCTCTCCTGCTTTTTCACTAACAGGTTCACCTGTTCACACAAATAATTGCCTTTATCATTTTATGCTGTGTTTCTTTCCAGTGCCTCTCTTTCTTCACATGGCGACCGCCTCTGCGACAGAGTAGAAGGCCTCCAGAGGATGAGCTCCTTGGTCAGCAGCTCGCACCTCCAGCTAGCCGCCTTTGCTCTGGGTACGGTAGGCTGGATCCTGTGCACCATTTCAATGGGAATTGTGGAATGGAGAGTGTGGCACGTGGATAACACCACCATTATCTCCTCCGGCATTGCCTGGGTGGGGATTTGGAAAGTCTGCTTCATCAGTTACCTTCACGTCTCGCCTGGCTATAAAGAACAGTTCTGCCACAAATTCAGCGGCTATGACTCCTCCATCCCCCATGAAATTTATGCTGCTCAGGGTCTCCTGTTGATCGCCATGTGCGTGGGCTTGCTGGGACTGACTGCCACAGTATTTGCTCTGAGAAATGTTTATATGGGAATCACTCAGAAAAACCTCATTACCCGTTTCTTCCTGGTAGGTGGCTGCTTCTACATACTGGCTGGTCTGTGCGTCCTGATTCCCGTGAGCTGGAATTTCTATTCTGTAACGCACAACCAGAGCATCGCTTTTCCTCCTTCTTACTACATGCCCTCCAGCCCAGCGGCACAGGAAGCTGGTGCTGCCATTCCTATTGGGATTGTAGCTGTCATCCTCCTGCTGCTAAGTGGGACTTTTTCTCTCTCATACAGATTTCCAGTGACCGCAAACGCTATCACAAAATCCTGACAGGATAAATCCCCCCATGCTGTTTCAGAACAAGAGCATAGTCAAGAGATAAGGACGGCAGCATGAGCGATTTTATAGTCAAGGAACTACAGAATTTAATTTTAGTCTACAGTAGCCATACTATTTTGTTATATGAACCAGCTGAATTACCATCTTGGTTGTCACATATGTCCAGAGGTTCACCTTTGAGGTAATTGCTGTTGAGCAGCAGCTGTGATTAAGTTTTACCAGTTGTCCTCTTTTGTATATACAAACATTATTGATTAATTTATTCTTTGTGTAAGATATTTACCATGCTCAAGGAGCTGACTCTGAATTAACCGTTCTGGTAGAAAAATGTGAAATAATACGTGTTAAATGGGAACTTGTTTCCTTGTTGGTACTAAACTATTTTGTCCATTATTTAATTACATCTGTAGCAAAGTATGTTTTGTGACAAGTCAAGACTTTTAGTATGAGTGTCATCATGGTTGTGTCAAATGAGTCTTCCCTGAATTGTCTTACAAAGGTCTTGCCAGTTTCTCTTCTTTCTCCAGGGCACATAAAGAGCTGTGTCTTTAATACTTCTGTTTTTCTTTCAAGCTATTTGCATTTTATGTTGCAACATGTTTGCCTGTGGGCAAGGTGCGCTCTTAATTCCTCATTTAGGCAGAGCCAAAAAGTCTGCAAGTGTTTGCTTCTTCATCAGACACTTCACCGAATCCAAAGGTATTGCAAAAGACGGAAACAACTTCTACAAGTTATTACAAAACTGCTGTCAAAATCAGTGCTTTCAGTAACTGGGAATATTCAGCACAACTTTCAGGGAATGATTCATTTGACCTGATGTGGGCATCTATACCTAAACTGCTCACTTCAGGTTCCATTTATAGTCAGTGAAGAGACAAAGACAGTCTTTTTCCAAAACAGATGCCTAGAATGACTGGAAGAAGACATGCTCCCTAAGAACCTCTTTCTTTTAACCCACTGTAATGGCTGTAATAATTACAGTTGCTAACTCTGGCATACACAACCAAATTTCACCTAAGCTAGATAAATTTAGGTGAAATGAATCTGTCATTTAAGTGGCATTTCATATGCCAGTGCCATTAAAAAAAAAAAAAACCAAAAAAACCCCCCAAAAACCAAAAAGGAGAAATGTCCCAAACACTGCAATAAGCGCAATTAAAAAAAAAAAAAATTGCAAGACATTAGGAGGAATGAGTAAACAGTGTTGACAAACTGATGATCCCTTGAAAAAAGGTTCCTCCAAAAAGTTATTACACTTTCAAAGAAATGCTACAGGAATCTAAGTAATTTAGTTTTACTCCTTTGATTGTCCTCCATTTCCTAAAATACCCATCGGTTCAGAGAAAGAGGAAAAGAAAATGTAACAAAAATGTAGTAATTCTTGTACATTGCAAGAAAAGGTAAAATGCCAGCAAACCAGTTATTGCTTGTGGCTGTTACTACCTCAGCTTGCCCTAGCAGTCCAATTTCTCCTCCACATCTTTCACACGGCCTCAACTTTGCTGTACTGTCTGTCTATACGGAATCCCTACAGCACCTTCATTTCCTCTCGAGCCTTCCAGTCTCCTCTGAAACAGCAGCTTATCTCATCATCGGTAATTTTTTCATCTGCTGCAAGGGTTTATCTTTTGACTGTTTACAATGCTGTAAAGCACTTTCAAGTGGTGTTTCAATGAAGGCAAGTGATTTAATAGCTTGTTTATTCTATATTGTTTCCAGTTTGATTTCTACTATACATCCTTTACAGTGTTGGTGGGTTTCATTCTTAAATGTGCAAGTCAATAGAACTGTTATCTCTTCCCACAGGGCCTAAATAATATTAGATTTTATCTTATTGTAGTTGTAAGGAAAAAAAAGATCTATCCATGTGTTTATGCCAACATTTCCCCACACTAATAAACCACCAATATTCCCTGGCAAAGAATTTGAACTTTAACAGAAAATGACTGATTCTTCAATTTTTTTTGAGTTCATGTATGCACAGAAATGTCAATAACTGCAACTGTATTTCTCAGCTATATTCACTAAATGATTGGGTTCAATTTACATTTATTCTTCTTGGCTAAAACACAAAGCAACAAACCACATCAGAAACACACCAAGTTTCTGCATTGCTGCCACAGCTGTTTCCACCAGGGATTCTGTTAATCTGTCCCGACGTGTGGCTATAAAACACTGGTGGTATGTCAGATGCAGGCTAGATGGTGAGGAAATTCCCCACCTAAAGACTGGTATAGGTTACATAACGAGATGTGTGGGGTTTTAAAATAACATTTTGTCAAAAATAAGTTTAGACAAATAGTGCCATGAAGACTGTAGGTACGAGTGAGCCTATCTCAGGACAGAGGGGTGATCTAGATGGAGCTGTTGGCATCCTTTCCCACTGTACCTCCTGGGTGTCTACTACAGAAGTCTATCAATAGTCACATGGTCCAGATTATATGTTGATATATGATAAAACAAAGTTTATGGTCAAATACCAGGCTATATTAAAACTCCCAGTCATTCCCTGAAGAAAAGATAGGAGGCAAAAAAACCTCAGCTCAAAACAAGGGAGAGGCAAAACTTCCATTTATTTCAATGGGATTGAGCCTGTCTAATCTTGACCCCTCAGGGCTGTGTGATTCATTAAATTTTACTGGATGTTTGTGTTCATTAAGATTTTGGTATTGGAGGAAAATAAAGCTCCTGTGCTTTGAGTTCACCAGCGAGGAGGCATAGTTTCTTTGTGCATATTTTCACGACACATTTGTTTCAGAATTGAAGAAGCTAAGTTACCTTTCAGTAGGTGAGTTTGTTATCATTTCAATTGTGCTTGTACAGCTATTTTTAGGGTTGTCTGCAAAATCAGGCAGCTGAATTGATTTCATTTTAAAACTCAGAAATGTAAAACTTTTCTGGAAGGCTATTTTTAACCTAGATTACTTCAGTGAGGTACGCTATAGCCTGGCCTCACAATCATTTGTAGTAGCACAGTTGAGGACAGGCAGCGAGCTGTAGCGCAAAGACAGGAGTGAGTGGTCGGGGCCTTGAGGTAGAGAGATAAGGGACAAGAACCCCTTAAGCAAATTTCACCACTGAAGAGATCATATCGCGCAGCTCTGTCTCCAGCTTCAGTGCAGACTGGGACCTGCTGCCTCCCCAGTGACAGCGCCGCTCGCCTTGTGGGCTCCACCCTGTCTAGGAATGTCTCCACGCTGGCCTCAGTCTACACATAAACCAGTCTCGCTTTATTTTTTCTGAGTTGACAATAAACAAGTATCTTGTGATTCACTCACATGTCTGAATTCACTGCTAGGGGAACGATCTGAATACCAAGACTCCCTTTGAGTTCTGCTGCGTATCTAGGCATAATGGTAAGGCATCCATCTTTGACCTCCATAACATACTCCTTAGCCTTAATCTACCATGTGATGTGTTTTGGCAACCTTATTTATATCTACCATCTACCTCATCTGTCCATTCATGGCCGCAGACCAAAACGTATACGAACATATATTCAATATTCTTCTCAGCGACGGATGCTTAAAGAGCAGATGGAGCTGAAAAGTGCCTAACAGTAAAACAAGTCGATAACACAAAGTCTGCTAAGATTTTCCTCCCAGGTGAATATGCAATTCTGACCAACATCATTCGTGTTCAGCTAAAGGAAGAGGGAGGAACTGGAGATATTGTAGGCCTCCAAATTATTCAAGTTAGGTCAGTAAACAAAACTTTTATTCAAGTCAGCAGTTTTACATGAAGAGAGTCTTAATTGCCGATTGTGAGTTCTTTAGCTGATTAAAAACAATGTTAGTCTCAGAAAGAAATGTCTTTGTTGTCACATGGTTTATGGTATATTACAATGATGAGAGGGAGGGTGGTTTTCAGGAGAGAGCTATTTTTAGACCTTGGACCATTTTTCCCTTAGAATGGAAAAACTGAAATGTCACAGGCAATTTCCTGCTCTTTAGGCCATTAAAATACTTCAGGACAAAGAGTTTTTGCTTAAAAAGGTAAGTCTGGCTGGCATAGTGTTTAACAGAAAATTGTTTTCTTAAAATAGGAAACCAGTGTACCTTAAATTAAAGGTTCCCAGAAGAGACATGACCTCTGAAAAAATATACCTTTTTCAAAACTGAACTGGGATTCCTTTCATTCTTGCCAACATCTGCATTGTCAGATCCAGTATCAGCTCATAAAAACATATTTTTCAACTAACATATTCCCTTTCCACTACTCAAATAATTTACCCTAATTCCCTTGCATGAAAGAGGTGAGATTGCTCAATAATTAGCACGGTGGTTTGGAGTGTCCTGGCTCTAAGTTGTTGTGTCAAAACCAACTAGATGCCAACCAAGAAAATGTAAGTGAATCTCATCTCAGAATTCTAAACCCAATAAATACTGGCTCTTAATTGGGAATGGGGTATAGTGTGCACTGTTAAGATCCAGTTCACAGAACATCATGTCACCCCCTTTCTCTTGGGATATATGTGGAAAAGACCAAGTGCGAGGATAATTCCCAGAATGATATTTTGAAGAAACATATCCATTATGGGTGGGATTTTATACCCAGCACTGTCCAAGGGTACTGCATGTGCAGGCTGTTTTCCAGGAGCTGAATATGAGGACCTATTATGGAATAAATTGGTAAAGGTAAAAAAAAATAGATCTCACTTTGAATTAACATTGCCATAACATCACCAGATACCTGTGATCAGCTGATGAGAACAATTTGTACCTGCCCATCCAGCCTGCCCCACATGGCCTCGGTAAAGACATTGCAAACAGGAAAGAAAGCATATGGGAAATGGGAAACTAGAGGCATTGCACCCACTACCTAGGTATATCACAGCTGCCAGCTGACTGAAATTGAGAGGGAAAAAACCCCTTGCACAACAGAAGTGCTTAAAAAACCCTGAAGGCTATGGAACTGGAAATGAAGCATTCGCAGCTTGGGGAAGAGACTGGAAGTATCAGTGCTATTGCTGAACAGTAGTTTGAAGGTAT